GCTCCTTGTGTTGCTCCTGACAGTCTCATCCTTGGACGGCATTACACAGCGTGGATCAAAACCTGACGGAAAAAGGATCAAATGGGACGAGAAAGAAAAGCGATTGCCCGTGGAAGAAAATTATCTCGAAGTATTTTCAAGACAAGAACACGCGAAACAAGATAATTTTCGAAAGATCGAAAAACGAGCACTGAGATGCAGACATGAAGAAATCGTGGCAGATTATGGGAGTGCCAGTGGTCGGAAAATTTGCGCAATTTTATGTGAATGTGCGGGAATGCAGTGTGCACCCTCCATCTTGGATGATTGTCTAATGTGCAAACCGTAAGAGAAGCAACGAAATAACCGCAAAGTTGGAGTGAACTTAAACAAAATATGACTTAAAGCTGACATCAAAATAAGTGCGCTTCCTTATAGAGTCTTCCTAAAAAGTATATGTTTCCTTAACTCAAACAGTTTCGGCCAACACACTGTTTAAGTGACGGAAACAAACCTCGTTCTTATTAGTCATGGCCTAGATGGCTACATACAGTTTTCCAAAGCTCTGACAACCATGTTGAGCATCAATATTTTAAGATGGACTCAGTTTGTACAGCTATAAGGCTCATGACTCCAAATCGCTACATGGCCTCCATTTATTCGAAGGATACTTATAACTTGGTTCCCACAGCTAAAATGAATTCTTGTCTAGATGTTGAGACTATGTAAACACGGAAAAAGTTCTGTATTGCTTAAATATGCAGTAAATTAGCCTTCTTTCCTTTGTTTTTGAGTGTTGATTTTACAGGTGTTAAACACGTTATCGAGGTCACAAAAGCTTATTAAAAGTGTATAAAATAATTAACAATTATATTCCACGAGCGCACGTTGGATATGAGATGATAGATAGCCAACGAGGCGCGTAGCGCCGAGTTGGTTATAATCATCTCATATCCAACAAGCGCGAGTGGAATAATTGTTTTATTAAAAACGCCCCCAAGAAATTACTATTTTGTAAGAAGAAACCGGATTTTTTAGCTCCCTTTTGATTTTAAACTGACGCGTACGCTTACCATATTTGTAGATTATGGTATATTGGCTAATATACCATAATGGCTAAGCCAATAAAAAGTCTTGAATTGCATTATCCAATGATCCAGTTTTTAATAAAACCAGTTATTCGAGGCTTTGGAACCACGAAAACAGAACATTCCTCACTCTCAAAGAAAGCCAGCAAATGTCAAAGACTTGAGAAGAAAGTGAAACAATTTTCCATTAATCAAGCGCAAGTCCCCGAGCTCGCATTAATCTCACCCCAGCCTCTGCTTTTGCAAATTTAGATATGGAAACGGCTGACTGAAGAGCACCAATCATCCCTTTATTAGGCAAATTTACTGAATACGAAAAAATCAACCTAAAATAATTTTTATTGACTTTAAAAAAAATCGACATCATTATTTACCTATCTGCCTTCATCTGAAATTGCTGTACAAAACGTTGCACTGATAGCCAGCTTTTTTCACTATGTTAAATGTTTTATGGTACTGCTAAAAAAAAGTATGTACAATTTTGATTACTTCTCAAAAGCAAAAGGGTAACGGTAGTTTCTTTGGTAAACAGATGTCANTTTATAGTCGAGGTTTTAGTTTGTACATCTACAGTGGAAATAAATTCCAGGGTTCAGTTGGATGTTCGCCTTTTAAACCGAAAAGTACGTTCTTGTACTAGCATTCGCCTTGCTCTAGGCTCAAACAAGTAGCTGTTTTATTGCACTAAAACTCCTGACCCACGAAACTGATGTCTTCTGTCCCCACAGTGCTTCTTTGGGCTAAGACAAGCCCTAAGGTATAGTCAAGAGCTTCATGCTATAAGCTCCTGTGTTCTCAACTGTTTCGTTTAGTAAGTAGACGTTGCCTTGATGACAGATTCATTTTGATTACAAAACTTAAGAGATACAAGTCAAAGGGAATTTGTTCGATTGCTCTCAAATTTTGACAGTACGTAGCTAGTTTTACATATAAACAACAAAAACGTGTCTCCAAATTTTTAATTTCTAAATACTTTTTTTTCAAGAGCGATTTTTGTACGATGACTCCAAATTTTTTTAATCCTATTTGAAAAATGTATGTTCTGTAACTTATCACTGAAATTGAATATGGTAAATCGCAGACACGTTTTTTTAGCGCTTTGGCCCCGGAAACGGAGGAACACATTAAATGAGCGAAAAACAAAATTCGCTTTGGCATGTAACGTTCAAAGGTGATTCGGGCGCTCGCATTTAGAAGTCGTGAAAAATTCGACAATTCCTTTTTTTTTTTTTCAAAGTGTTTGGTATAGTCTGATAGCCAGTCCTATAAGCTTTAATTTGATATAGGGGTTTAGATATCTACGGTTTAAACTGGACGCGCAACATCGCTTGCACGCGAGACACCCCTGAAGGTGCACGGTAACCTTAAAACCAGTTTTTCAGAAGAATCGAAAGAGAAATCGTTTCCGTAGTCTGTTCAATAATCCGCTAACCTGTAAAGAGAGACCTGTTTTAACGACCCGCCAGTAAGTTTCCAATCACTTTTTCTGTATTTTGCTAGGAGATTAATACTTGATTTGCGCTTTTTAGATTTCGCATTATAATGGTCCTTCTTTAAGATCGAATAATTATTAAAGCTTGGATGAATATTATACGGTTTGTGGTGGTCGTCTGAGCTGACCAGTTCAGAGTAAGGAAACATCTACGGGAATGGTGGGCTTGTTGGATATGATATGACGGCTGTAGTGTCGTCATTCAGACACAAAGAGACTGTTACTCTTTCATTGCCGAAGGCAAACTGAACTTTATTAACAAACACATTACACATATAGAGGTAAAAGAGTTTACTGACTTATAGTAATTCTATAGCATGCAGGTATTTCCAGTATAGTCGGATTACTGCGAGTAGTACATTTACTGAATTAAAGTACAAATGCTCACCTTACAACCCGCACTGGGTTTTTGTGAGCAATTAATCGGTACATCTATATTCAATACACTACAACGGTAGTTAGCTCAGCAAGGGTTATATTCAATTATTAAAAACTAGATCATTGGATAATGCAATTCAATACTTTTTATTGGCTTAGCCATTATGGTGTATGAGCCAATATACCATAATCTACAAATATGGTAAGCGTGCGCGTCGGGTTAAAACTAAAATGGAGCTACGATTTGGTAAGATTTGTCTAATATCTTGGGGGCGTTTTAATAAAACAGTTATTCCAACGCGCGCTCGTGGAATAATTGTTAACTAGGCCTGACATTTATGAACTGAAGGTCACTGTGACTTGCTATGGCCCGTATACCAGAGTGTAAGAATGTTGATGCAAACAAAAAATTTGCGTACATTACGGAGATGTACAGAGTAGTGTAAGGGCTTGTAACTAGCTTAGGGCGACACCAATAATTGACTTCTTTACATGTCGCATGAATTGCTAGATCGGACTTTGCTAAGACCAACTATTGGCCAATATGCATTGCATGTATCTGTCTTTGTTTGGTTTCACGAGAGCGAGGCTTCTATTAGAGAGTTTTGGCACCGCGTTAGCGTAAAACGGAAAACGTTAGCTTGCTTTTTCATGTATCAAGTAAAAATAGCGGGAAACTTGCCGCTTCAGCTTCGCGTGAGCTCACGTCATGGTGGATTTGAGGGCTCTTTTGTATGACTTTCAAGGAATAGTTTTGCCTCTTTTCCGGAAATTGGCTTTTACTCAGTGAGAGAGAAAGTGAAGGAAATCTAACTTACTCAGGAAACGCGAAATAATTTACTTTCACGTAGAAACGGCAAAGCGCAACCACCAAACGCCAAAAAAATGTTGGGAAAAACAAGGTCACGTGGTCATTCTTGCCGTTCACGTTTCACGTAGACACGGTGCTAAATCCCTCTATTGTTACCCTTAGTCGAGAATCGCGGCAAAACATTTCGAACGCGTGCAATTCACGTCGCTTGAAGTTCATTGAACTCGCTCCTTCTATCTTCTGTCATCAAATTTATACTTTTCAGGACATACATGGACTCCTCACTTTCAATTCTTCTACGTCTTTAGAGAATGCAAATGCTACAGCTCGATTGTAACAAGCGGTGACAATACCGCGATGGAGGAGCACCTTGCATGTTATATATGTATATGGCACTCATCATGTTTCGTTGACTTTGTTTTGTCTTTCCCTTCGTTATGTTTATATACTTTTCGGCATGAACCATAAGAACCGGGTGATATGTGATTGCAAAGGGAAGAGCGCCAGAAAAAAAAGAAAAGGTGCTCGCAAATATCGCGGGGGCTACCTCAAATGTCACGACTAGATAATCTGAAACGTTTCGGAACAAGTTGTCAAGCAAGCCTTCACCAACCTCACGTTTTACCTTTGACGGATCTCATCTTGTATTTTCCTCTTTAGTTTTTCATCCAAAGCCAGTGATTACTTTCGTAAATTAGGAATATCGAGGAGAAATTAAGTAGAAAGTCAAGTCAAAATCCCAGGGATATTTAACAAGTACCTCAGTTAATATGCTTTCTTATCAAACTTTCTGCACGTTGCAAGTTCAAAAAGCCTCTTCATTTTTACTGTCCACGGAAGAGGACATTTCCCTAGACTACCCTAGCATTTACATTTAATATTGCTGGCGATCTATGTCTTTTACCTGAACAGGGATTGTCTATACTTAAACCAAATTTGACTCAGGAAAGCAACGAAAAACCTCCAAGGCCGACCAAAATATATTTCTTTTATCTTGGATATTTCCACTAGCTCCATGTAAAGTCATTATTTATCTGCAATCAGGCGTATCCTAGGGACCAGAAATTATATAATGCCATGGGAGGAGGAGGATTTTGGGGGGATCACATTCTCATGTTTTCAGTCGTCACCAACATCACCAACAGACTTACAAAGGTGGGACTACAGAAAATTGACTGCCAATTAACTGCCAACGAGCAGAATAGGGGGTCACAGGAATACTAAAGAGCCTCTCTTGGGATTAGTGAAATTTTCTCATCACACAACCAGAATCCTCCAGCCCTTCTCCGTGTAATAAACAGCCTAATTATAACGATCTCGTGTTTTGGAATTCAAACAGCTGACCAGCTTCTTTTCCCAACTTTCTTTTTCAACCGATTTTGCGTAGTCGATATAACTCCGTTTTTGCAATTCCTTGGGAAGCTTTCCTTTTTCGACGTCATCAAGTTTGATGACAACTAAACTATCATCTCTCCTTTCCATAAGTCGATGAAGGGCGTAATCCAGCTCTGACCCACAATATTTACTGTTAAAAAAGTGAGTAGATACAACGGCAATGGTTTTCTTGCACTTGTAAACGCTGTCCACCATATTTTTCCTAAAAGTCACTCCAGGGATGAAGTCTCGGTAATGCACACAGCACCTTATACCATGGTTTTCTTCCAAGGTTGGAATTAGGGTGTTGACCACCCACTGCGAATCCTCGGAACTAAATATAATGAACGCGTCGTACTCAAATTCCAGATCTAAAACAGAATTTGCATTCGATTTAATAATCAGCTCTTCTGTAATCCTATTTTAAAAACCGCGAACTGACCATAGCTTTAAGTAAAACAATACTTACCCGATGGTAAAGGCAAAGAACGACAACGATAGCGGAAAATTATCAAGCCAATTATCACAACAGCACATGTCGAGGAGAGGATAGCTGCAATGATAGCTCTAAGTTTCTTGTCCCCACCTGCTAAATAGAAAGAAAGCACGTTTCCATGAAACGATTACAGTAAATATACAGCACGCGAGGCAAGGAATATTTTGTGATAAAAAAATATATATATTTAACGAAGATCAATCGAAGTTCGATAAAAGATGATTGAGGTGATATGTTTAGAAGTTGTCCCTGGACAAAAGAATAGTTTTTATGCGATGACACATGGGCAATGGCGAGCATCCTAAAATTAACATATTTTTTTTATGCCCATAAAAAGACAATTCCAACTAGCTTGGCTATCTGAAAGTCTACGAACGCTGAACAACTAGACTGGTATACAATGTATGTAATTATTGTTGTTGTCTTTCCTACTATCCATTTCTTACAAGCGATAAAATTGAACCCTGTTTAACGATGGTTTGATAGCGTCATGAAAAACAATCTCTCATTAAGTATACCTAACAAAGAAAAGAAGGAGTTTGATCGAGCAACTCCGGATCCGTAGCTGCGCATCAGTTTAGCTAACCAGGGAGGTCACTCTGGTGGAGCATAAGTTATTCGCTCCATGCTTTTCATATTGATCCGTCAGCCTTTTGTTAGAACCTTTGGATGACCTGTCATATATTGGGCTCCCTTCACCACCTTCCCCCCTTCCCCTCCGTTGTTTTCATTCATTTCACATACTTTTTTTCTCATTTGGAATATGAATTTGGCCATTACACCAATGGTTATTTAACTATTGAGTGAGGGGAAAGCTGTTCCACTCATTTCAATCCTACCTGTAGACTGCGTTGGTTGCACTACAAAAATTGAGTTTTCATGGAATAAAGCAGAGCCAATTTTGATTGCATGTATAACTATTAGCCTTCCTACCCCCTCACCTTATATCATCCCCCTCCTCAGTTTAGCTCATATACAGATACTCATCTCACTTAAATTGAGTTTTTCGTTATACCGATGGTAATTTCTTTTCAAATTTCAAATAAAGGCTGTTAGTTTTAAACCTACCTTTAGACTGAGTTGTTTGGACTATAAGCGGAGGAAAAAAAAAGAAGGAAATCACTCTACTTGAACAAGTGAGGTATTTTTGAACAGTCTCTTCAGATATGTATCATTACAATGCAATTCAACAGATACGGATAATGACCATAGATTAAAATAAAGTTGATCTCTTAGAGCACGCACGAATTTTAACCTCTGCAGTATTCATTTCGCTATAATTTCTCGTCTGGACCAATAATTATTTGATTTTTGAGAGAAGGCAAAACAAAACTGAGGGAAAAGAAAGGTGGACTCGACCTTGTGAAATGTAAATTTTAAACGCATAAGTCAATTTTAACTAGTCACTCCAACGCAAGCATGTTTTAAGAAGAGGATTAACACCCATCTCTTCTGATCTAATTAGCTTTTCTATATTTCGATGCACTGAACTCTCATAGAACAACAGGCGGCTCAGGCCCACCATGAAGTGTTTTTCTGAGAGAAAGGTAACTCGGAACAGAAAGCGAAACGTAACAAGAGTAGCCACTGACTCTTGCCTTGCAACATTTGAAGATTTTACGTAACAAGAGTTTCATCGTAACCGGACCATCCTATGAGAGTGTTGACATATTAGACAAGCTCTAAAAAATTCTTCAGATTTAAGAAATGAACTTCTGTTGAGAATAAAATATTCAGAACTAAACATTTTATATTGAACAATAATTTTAAATCCGTTTTCACCTTTTAAAAAATATTTTACATGATTTAAATGATATAACGAAACATCCACATATGCTGTTATGCATGATTCATGGTTTTTAAACAAAGGCTTGTTGGATGGTAATGTATATGCACTTATAACGTTTTGCTTTCCATTCTAGCTTTGACACTGAAAAAAAAAATTAATCCACTGGCAAACAACAAAGAGGTTAATTTCATCGGATGAAAATGACTTCAAAAAGTCAAATGGTATCTCTATAGAGCTGAAATTAACTAAACTTTTTTCTAGGGAAGAAGACTTCCTCTCCTGCATTGAGGTACAAATGACCTAAGTGTAACTAACATCTCGCATCCAAAACCTCCATTGTCCTCTTCTGTGTGAGGTTTTGCATCCAGAGAACATTAATATGGTCAAGGCTGCTGATTAAAAACCTACCTGTAGAGTAAGTTAATTCATCTAGAAAAGATAGAAAAAAGGAAAAATCAGAGAAAAATTAAGTTGACCGCTTCAAAAATCGAGACCCTTGGTATAACTCACTTTTCTTTAATGACACCCAACTCTCTTATGAACTAGACTAAATGCCCATGCATCCTTAGTGTTCGGATTACACATTAGACATGCGGCAGGGTGGAGAGCTTGAATTCAGGAATCCAAGGTTACGATCATCAGTCTAAATAATCGGTTACGCTGTTTGCCTATCACGGGCTGCCACACTACCCTGTGATGAACACAGAAGGTCTGGAGGAAGAAGTGACAAAAAACAAAAGAAAATGGGGGAAAAAAAGGATAGAAAGAAGGAATGTTGGCAAGAATATTGCACTAGGATCTTTCAGCATCGTGTCTCTCCCTTCCGAAACCTAAAAGAAACACATGCCGAAGAAAGTTGTGGAGAATATTAGCGTAAGGACTTTTCCATACAAGCAGACAATGAGAATTGAGCCAAAGACCACCCATTTAAGAATTTGGTTAAAAGGGAAAAATAGCTAATTGATTGATGTAGCTTTACCTTCTAACTCTCCTCTCAAGGAAAATGAAAAATAAAAAAGGGAAAGCACCAAGATCTTGCCACTTCCAATGGTATGTAAACAGCATAAATGAACAGAAAGACTGCCAGACATGCGATATCCCAGAGAAACTGCCACACGTAATCAAGAAGGGTTTAAACAGGGTTACAGGTAATAGTTACTCAGAACCACGCATGGTCGGGTTACGCCCACAGGTTTTAGACACAAAGATCTTTGAGATTTACGAAGAATATGGTAAAACTCGTATCATGCACGAGGATGGGATAGTTGGAATGAATTCAAATATGGAATTGATCTGATATCGAATTTGGGATAGAGATGGAGAAAAAATCTTTTTTTATAAGGAAAAACAACTGTAAAAACTCACTTATATTTTTCTCGCAGCCTATTGGTACTTCGCAAGCTGTGAAATGAAAAGTACAAAGCATATTTCAAAGATGCAAAAGTTATTCTCTCTACTGAAAAACAGGATATCAATCATAACAGGCCTGAACAATGAAAGATTAATAAGCGACCTTGATTATACATTTCCTCATACATGAGTTTGATTTGTAAGATCCTGAAGCCAAGAACTAATACACTTATGTGATGTACCATTATATTCTCCCATGCTGCTCCATTACGCAAAAATAATATCTTAAGGTTACTTCCCACCTTCAGATAAAGAAATAAAATCGTTTTTCCTTAATTTGACTAGACTGAAGTTAAACATTATGCCAAACGCTGCCAAAAAAAAATAAGAAATTTGCAAAGCGTCCGAGTGATTTAGAAAATCGTATTTTCAAATGAGAGTAAATAAACGAGGAAGGTGTCATAATCTCATACCTGGGCGAATCCCTGGGAGAATTTTCGCGGCTATAGACCCCTTGCATTGACGTCACACTCATTTACATACCGTTAGTTACCAGGCACCTGGAGGACCACTCCGCGATTGTTCATCGTAGCTTTCTTGTACATTTTGATAGTGATAACGAAATATGTCGAAAAAAACCGCCGAAAAAGGATATTTACCCGGCCAGCATGAGTCGCTCCCTGACCAATTATCAAAGGAAAGATATGGGAGTAAATTAGAGCTAATTAAAGGTATTGATCCCTACGAAATTCCGAAAAAGATTGGAAAGATGACGTTGAGTTATGGCCGTCAGTCACTTACATCGACGTCGCGATGTATTGACGTCTCTAAGAATATTTCTTTCGATTATCACGCCAGGTTGTCCTCCAGATGGAAATTGTCACGTGATCCTAAATCGCTAGTGACGTCATGTGCAAGGGGTCTAAAGCTCTTCCTCATATTATTTGCATATTTTGTTTACACGCGCACTTGACAAAATTCACCCGTGGAAGCTCTTTGCTTGAAGAAAAATCTTTGCTCATGGAACAATCAAACGCAGAAAAAGTCCTCGGGTTAAAAAAGAAAAAAAAAAGGTCCAAAGAAGATTACCATTCTTTCCAGAAAAGAAAAAATTCCTTGGTAAAAGGGACTGGTACTCCGCTACACGCTGGCGTCCAGATTTCGAACAAAGTCACCGTCAAACTAGAATTTGTCCTACGCTAAGTTAAAAACGAGTTGTTTTTTTAATTATGTAAGATCCAGCCTTGATACAAAACATTTACAGTTGCATCAAATTGGAATTTTGAAAGTGGTCTGACGATTCGTTGTCTTGCTTGTCAGCGCATTATTCGGTTTTTGTATTTTTTACCAAAAGTACAGGTTTTCATTTGCCTTTGGCAACTTTGCCCGTTATTGTGTTGTCCTCCTTAATGTTCCACTGAGCGATCAAGATAAAAAAAAAAGTGTCTGTAATGCATTACTTTTCCCTGGAAATCTTGATCCATCGTCTTTAATACCAGGAGATCCCGTTGTCTCATTGGTTTGCGGTTTCAGGAGGCTCTCGATGTGGAGCAAGTTGTGTACAATCTTTAGGAGCTAAAATTTCGCATTTGAGCGAATTTATAGGTTATGTAGATGTCACTGATGTCATGAAATTTCGCCACATAGGGATAATAATAAACGAAAGTGTGTCGGAGTTTTATATTTGGTTATTTTTATATGTGGCGTCCATTTACTCGACACGTCTCGCATATTTTACGCTACTCTAACTTAAGATGCGGATATCTAGACAACTAATCGGAATGATATCGGAAAAGCCTGACGCAATTTTGTTTTTTGATGCCGGTGAGTAAGACCGTGCAGCCACTTTGCTCGTGCGGCGGCATCCAATACCCAATAAATTTAAGAGAAGGAACCTCTGTCGTTTCACGCCATACCACGCTTCAATTACATTTTAACAAAAATCACATTTATTAAGTCATTTAAGGCAATTTAATGGTCAGCAAGCCCATCAGTTAGCCAGTCAGTCAGCCAAGCACCCATTTAGTAAGCCAGTCAATAACGCTGCCTGTCAACTAGTCAGTCAGCTTCCAAGTCACAGCAAGTCAGTCAGCGAAAGAGTCAGCCTGCCAGTCCAATTAGTCGGTCAGGCAGTCAGAGACAATTTACCCATTGGCGCCGGTTTTTGCAAAAAAAAATTGTAAACAAGCGAAAACGCACTTTTTTCATTAGATTACGTTGAAATTTGTAAGAAAATACTAGGTCCAGGTGAAATACAATGTTTGCGAAATCTGGCCAAGAGGTGAAAAACGCAGAGTCTTCTTATGAGCAACTTTTTTTCCATACCGCCTAGGAGGCGGCACATCGACCGAGAAATGACCATTCTCGCATTCCTGCCAAAGAAGCTTTATAGGGAGCTCAGAAACGTGGTAAGGTCTTTTTCCGCAGACTTGCTTCTCTATCCTAGAAAATTCACGAAAACTAAAGTGAGCGTCGATAGTCGCAAAATGGCGGAAATCAGTACCCTGAGTAAAGGCAAATGAGCTTTGCTCATGAAAATCGCAAAAGAAAGCAAGCCATTCCGGCAGTCCTTTAGCTAGGGAAGGAGGATCTCCCCTGACTTTGACGGGCTCGAAATGGTATTGCATTACTTCCGATCTCCCCCAATTTTGGTGTGTATGACGTTGAAATATTAAACAAATCAGGTACCGAGTTTAGTGGTAGACGTTTGAATGTACCGTACATAACTCTCATTTCGAATTTCAAGTTTCACCCGCGCGTGTGAGTAACATCTCCGCCGAAACGATACTGGAAGAGCTATTCAATGATAAAAAATTCGCTGATGGGATGGAAAGTGAATAAGAAAGCGATTCGGACCGGTAGCTAGCAAAAAAGTGTGGAGAATCGAGGTAAGAAGTCTAATAATGCCATTGCGAAATCGTCGCCATCGACCGCGTGGTCTTGTCATTCGAAGTTATTCGCCCCAGGCTGTCCTTTTCTGTTTGATTTCACGCGCAGCTCTTCAAATTTGTTATAAATTAGAATTGATTTACGGGACTCCATAAATAGTAATTTACGCCGAGAACATGTTTTATAGCGATAAATGAGAAGCGATTCGAAGTGTAATCGATACTTCATTCGATCGGCTGCTACCATTCTATTATAGTGCTAACAAAAAGCAAGGATTGTCAAGTGCCTTTCAGTCATTTTGATCTTTCTACGATTTTGCTTGACTGGTTATAAAAGTTTTCATTTATCATGCGATACGCCTAGCTTTAAAAATAGAAACAAGCAAAAAAGAATATTCAAGGTAAATAAACAAGAACAAAACAAACAAAGACAAGGAATTAAAAAAGCTCTTGAAAAAACTAACAAACAGTAAACAAACTGACCATGTAGGTCATGCTTTAAGCTTTGTACATTTACTTACTGAATGAGAAGAAGATTGGTATGTCAACTGGATATGGAAGAGAAGTAATCTAATTAAAGAAAAAGAGAAGGAAACAATACATAGATTGGCATCCTTTCTCATATACTTTCGTGCAAAGAGGATACACTATTTGATTACGAAGTTGGAATGTGGCCAATTTAACAGAGCAACACATATTACAAATATGCTTGCTACTTTGGTAAAAAAAAAGGAAGTCGAAACTATTGTACACTCAGCTATATTTGTTTTTTACTTCCAAAACATCTGTGAAAATAACCTAACTCCTTCATGCTCCCTCACTTTCTCACAATAGGACTTGTTAGTACGTCACTATATAATGCACGACTAAGTGCTGTTTTTCGCGAAGCCTGATTCGCATTTTTGGAAGTGATTACGACAAGTACTTTTCATCTCTAAAAGTCGAAAACACAAAACTGGGCGTAACTTCGATAAGTTGTCTATCCTGCGATCGATTCTCCGTTTAGAGAAAGTAGCACTCTTCAGTAATAGGATCCTTTAAACAAATTATTAGTTCTCAATTCAAAATTTATTTTTAATTAATAACGGATGCGGTCAATCCGGATTATTTCCACCTTTCGAAATGCGATAAACGATTACTTCACTTTACAATATTTCGCCAAGGTACAAGCAATTCGAAATTTAAGCTTCATTTAGCCTGGTTCAACAAAACTTTTAAAAAAAGTACAGTACAAAATGCAATAAGGAATACCTATAATTACAACACGAGATCAGTTTCCAATAACAATATAACAACACCAGCTTGTAAAAGGAACTCTGGCCTCAGAACGTTTCACTCAAGCGCTTTGGTTTTATTAGTAGTTAATTAATTAATATCGTTATACTAGTTGATTATTATATAAATTTAGTTGGTAGATTATTCTGATAGTTAATTAACTTGATTGATACGTTTTATTACTTTTAATAGTAGGAGGGCCATTATGAAAACTACTGGGTGGCCAGTAATCGATGGTTTTACCCTCGTAAAGAAAATTTTGTTCTTCTTCTTCTACATGCATTAGTCTCGCGATGGCGAAAAAAAACCAAGAAACAACACAGAAGAAAAGCGTTTGTTTGTCTATTCCAGTGATATTATGGTGTATGTATTTATATGAATTATTTTCTTATTTAGCAGAGATCTTATACTACGTATGGAAGCAAATTAATATCGAAGAGAATCCCTTTATGGAATTCAGTGAAAGATGAGTATATATACGTATGATGCACGATCCTCGCAGTAAATAGCGCTATTTTTGCAAGAGCGAAAATCATATATTCATTCTATCTCATGAGTATAGGCAAGTCAACTTCCGAGGAAACTTTAGCACCGACGTTTTATGATATGAAAGGGAAAAGAATGCAACTGTAATTGACAAGCTTTCGACATTTTCTTGAAGAACGGGATAGAAAATTAGAATTATGAAAATATGTTTATACAAAGGGCACTCACGTAAAGCGCAACAGGAGAACCAGTCGTCAGTCCGTACGAAGAATTAGTTATGGTAAAGTTCGTAGCGTTCTGAAATGAATATAATACAAAATTAAGGTGGCCATGTAGTCTCCATGTAAAAGGTGGAAATTTACACCAAACCGATAAGAAATCACCGTGAGCACCTCGCAAAGTAACATTTTTTCCCTGAGCGAGACATTTCGCATACAATATCTCGGGTTAATTTGCAAAACCATTATAACTGTTCTTTCCCTACCTCTGCTTAAAAGGTGAGTGCGCGCAAGGGTATGCCTACTCTGAAACGTAAATAAAGTCGCCTCTCTGATGTATTGGTGTTACTTACCATTATTGCTTTTTATTCGTTTTGTTTTACGATACGTCGTATGCAGGCGCTCACCTTATCAAATTCTTGACACATGCCTTCGCTCTGGCTGCCGGATTCTACAAATCGGTATATTATTGCGTATCCAGTCCAATTTGTCAGTTGAACTGAAAGAAATAGATATTACAGGACCCTTTTATATATCTTACCTCTGATTCAATTATCGTTTTTGCTCATACTGCTTTTGTGTGGGTCAAAAAGGTGAGACTCCCCATTTACTTTGATGTACAGATTCATTTTGTTTTCAAATTTAAAGTTTGTAATGGATTCCTGACGGTGTTGTAAGGCGTCATATTTCTAAAACTAAATCTGAGATATCGTCCGCTTGATCTTTTTCCAATCCGCAGAGAATAGACATGAAATCGTAAACAATAATTTTTAGGAGTTCTCACGGTACAGATGTAACCAGATTAATCTGTTTCCGATAGACCACAACCTATGAAATCGCATACCTTCAAACGACACACAGACAACTGGAGATTGACAACAAACGATCAGAATGTTGTATCGACTTGTTTTTCTTACTGAACTAAACTGGACGTCAAAAATCCATATTTTACGAGAAAACTCCAATGGCCTGCTAGGATACAGCATTAAATCGGAGCCTTTGTTGCGTATACAATGTGCACGCCGTCGGGTTTCGGTAAAATAGCACGAAAAAGTCATATATACCCAACTATACATTAGGAATATACTATAACTTTCAAACACATTTAAATCAGTTAACAAATAAGTTCATCTGGAAAGTGGTGCGAAGTTCCACTGAATTAATGTTTATGCATCGGTTTTCAGTTGATGCCGTATGTAATACTGGAATTCTACTTACTATCAAAAGGTGTCCATGACAGCGTTGCTATAAACTTTCCCGTGTTGTTAAGCTCTTCAAATGCCATTTTTATTTCATCGATAGTCGGGGTGAAAGATTTTTCAACTCTCGACTTGTTCATCAAGCATCTTAGAAACCAATCTGATATCAATAAGGAAATGTACTTAGTTTTACAGTAAAAATGAACCCTTCTTGAAATATACTTCTTAATTAACTGAAAAACAAAACCAAAACAAAAATAAACAAACAAGCAAAAACAATAAGTGATTAATAGTTAACTTGATGCAGTAAATGACTTGGAGAGATTGTCGGAAAATTCACGAGGGTACTAACTGACAAAGAGAAAATTAAGATGTACTCTAATTGATGATAAACGTCCACTCACGTACCCTATGAGATATACATACAGACAGACATACATACATACATACATACATACATACATACATACATACATACATACATACATACATTAATTGACCACTCCCCATAGGAGCTTTTCAAGGCCAACACCCACCCATCTCACCCAGGGGAGGACATCCACCACACAGTAATCTCGTGCATAGGAAATTAACGTCTCCTACCCCTAACCCTGCAGGAGACGGGGCCTACGGTATATTCGTCCTTATCTGAGAAGACTAGAATATCTATCCTATTCTTGATTATAGAAAGGTAGCAGATTCTCCTCACTTATTTTAAGACCATGAGTATTTGTAACGGCAGGCGAACATCAAGGCCGAATGTATTGCCGTGAAAATCGCGACCGGAGAAAAATACCAGAACGGGTGGAACTTTACAGAGACCGAAGCGACATTCACATCACATTTATTAATTGATCTCGTAAACTGAAATAAACAATGAAGGACTAGCGTAAGGCAATTGCACAAACAAACGTTACAAGGCACTAGCGATCGACAAATGAAAACCCTCAGAGGCAACAAAATAGAACTAAACAGGCTAAATGCAAACAACCAGAAACGAGCGAAACTATAGAACTAATATAAAGAAATCGACTCAGATATCCACGCAGCCACGAGGTCGCGGTACCTAAAATCACAATGATCACATAAAATGAATGATATATTAATCGAACTGCGAACTGGGCTAACCACAAGCAATAAGGATAAATTACGATGAAACGAACTTACTTATCTGTCCCGCGACACCGTAGGCCTTTATAATCTCTTTTTGTAGACCACAGCAAAAAATGTCTACTCCACACACACGCTCCGCACGTACTAAATCAATCACATCCAAAAATAGCTAAAGAACCTAACTGTAACGTAAAGCACTGTCACGCAAGTGACGCGTGTAACTGTAACTTAAAGCGCCGTCACGCAAATGACG